CAGAAAATATTAATTTTATTAATATCTTTCCTTTCTTGATAATAAAAAAGTGGAAAATAATTTTGCACTTTGTAATACTGAGACTAAACCAACTGATAAAACTGCTCTTTATATTGGTTTAGGAATAGGAGGAATATTTGTTTTATTTTTAATCTTCATCTTGGCGAGAAATCGTCAGAAAGGGAAGTTAAAGAACTAAGTAGCATTTAGGTGAAAACTAAAAATTTTAAAAAACTATAAATTATAATTGCCTATGACCAAAACGATATAAATAACAAATTAGCATAATCTTAAAATCAATTGCTACCTAATTTGTTATAAAAGGATTAAGTTCCTGAGTGGTGATTGTAAAACATAATTTTAAAACTAAGTAATAATTCAAAAACATATGGTAAAAAGGAATATACTGCTAATAGGCAGAACAGGCAACGGCAAGTCAACATTGGCTAATGTTCTAGTCAATAAAAATAGAGAATTTGAAGAAATTTTTAAAGAGGGACACGGTAGCACTAGTGAAACAAGAGAAATAAGAGAAAAAACATTTGAAACAAATGGAATAGAATACTGTATAATTGATACGCCAGGAATAGGTGATACAAAAGTGTCAGAAATTGATGTAGTAAATGAAATAGTTAAAGTTCATGATAAAGTCAAAGATGGACTAAGTCAAATTTTGTTTGTGATCAGCAAAAAGTTTACTAAGGAGGAAGAAGAAGTGCATAATATTTTAAGTTATGTAATTTTTAATAGTGAAATTTCTAAATACACCACTATTGTAAGGACTGGTTTTTCTGGGTTTAGAAATGTTGAAAAATGTGAAGAAGATAAAAAAAAGATAGAGAAAGAAAACCCTAGTCTCGCTAAATTAATTAAATCATGCAAGAAAATTATTTATGTAGATAATCAACCTTTAACTGATGATTATGAGAAGGATGAAATAACTATTAATAAAAGTAAAAGAGAAAAATCTAGACAAAAATTATTGGAACACCTAGAGACTTGTAAAAAAATTTATAAACCTGACAATATAGAGATAATCCAAGAAAGAATTAGTGATCACTATATGGAAGAAAAAGAAAAATATAAGGATTATGGATTGTGTTCAGAATGTAATCAATCTAACACTGGGAGTGCTTATGGAATTGGTTGATGTAAATTTTGTAATTCTCAACACTTTCAACAACGCTTTAATAAATGAACAAGCGGTAGTCAAGCAATCGATGAATTTATTCAAAGTTATCAACTTAAAGCAATTAATAGATATGGAGTATTAGAATGAATACCTTACAGTAAGCTTGAAAATATTGAATACCTAACCAGAGGTGGTTTTGGTAAGATATATAAAGCAAAATGGATTAAAGGATGCATCAATTATTGAAATATTGAAGACAACAAATGAGGAAGAGATAGGTTTTATCCTGACAGAGTTGCTTTAAAAAGTTTGAGTTGCTCTCAAAATATAACCAGTGATTTTTTAAAAGAGATCTCTTATCATAAGTTATTTAAAGATGATTATGATGGCGTTGTCAAATGTCATGGAGTTTCTCAAGATCCAGAAACCAACGACTATATAATGGTAATGGATTACATTGAAGGTGGCAATCTTAGAAAATACTTGAGTGTTAGTAAGTTAAATTTTAGAGACAAACTTTGGCAATTAAGGCATGTTGCAAAAGGACTAAAAAGCATTCATTACAAAAAATTAATTCACCGAGACCTTCATGCAGGCAACATACTAATTTCTAATAACAATGTGTGTCTAATTACTGACCTAGGTTTATGCCGACCGGTTGATGAGAAAGATGATGGTAAAGTTTTTGGAGTTCTTCCTTATGTGGCTCCTGAAATTTTACGAGGCAAACAATATATCCAAGCCTCAGATATTTATTCTTTTGGGGTAGTGGCTTATGAAATACTTTCCGAAATGCCCCCTTATCATGAATATTCTCACGATGTGTCTTTAGCTATCAGAATTTGCCAAGGATTGCGACCTAAATTTAATATTAAGATACCGCAAAGGTTAGAGGATTTAATTAACAGATGTTGGGATGCTGATCCATCACGAAGACCAACCGCCAGTGAACTATACAAAATTCTATATGATTGATTTGATTCAAATGGGTTTATAAGAAAAAATACGGAATTTTATCAACAATATCAAGAAGCCGAAGAGTTTAATAAAAAATTAGCAGATACTGTAACTATAGGAAAAAGAAAAGACAGTGAATCTCACCTTAACCTTGATCCTCTTTACTATCATCCCAATGCTTTTTATACCAGTCGTTTATTAGACTTTAAAAATTTACCCGAACCCCAAAACTCTAAAGAAATCAATTATGAGTTCTATTCTCGGGTCTTGTCGATTGATTTTGCTGAACTCAACATTAAGGATAATGAAATACCTAAAAGGTTGAGGTCAATGTCAATGGAAGAAGCCTATCAAAAAGAAACCAAATCAGTTAAATTAGATAAAATAGCAGAAAAAAAAGAATTTAAATCTGAACCAACGGAAATAGATGATAATACTCAAAACTGAAACTGACAAAATATTAATCCTAATTTCACTAATGAACTAATTATCCAATGAACTAACCTAAATTTCACTTATTTTCAAATCCAAGAATGAATAAACATTGGCTTCCAATCTTCCGATTATAACTTCTGTGCTTGGTTAAGAGACATTAAACAACTAACTCCTGAGCAAGTTCTAAATCATGGAAATTTAGAAACCTTGAGCCAAGAATTCTTTAACTGGTGACAAGAACAACAACAGGCTCTGATAGAACAACCACCTAAATAAAAAAAGGGGAGTCAAAACCTCCCCTATTCTCATAAGCACTTTTTACTTATAAATTTACTTATCAGAATATCTCTCT